TTTGTTTGGAGACCTTTATATCTTATTTGAGGTTATATTCAATTTCGTTATGGAAGATTTTATTTTGTATTGGAGGCTATATTTTGGAGGTTTTATATAGCGTTCCGTTACGTTTTGAAGTAACCTCCCTTCCTTCGGAATGGGGGTGTTACAATGATACAAAATCATTTAAAGATTTTTAGAACCATTAAAAAATATATTTATTTTGTACCAAATAATATTCACGATTTAACGATTTAAAAAAAACATCAGACAGCAAATCCACATTCCACAGTTTACTGGTCCTCCTCATCCATTGGACTCCGGAATCAATCATCGTCATCGGATTAGTGATCACACAAAATACGATTAAATCACAGAGAGGTAGTTGGAGACTTGGAGTGCTGTAATTTGTATGAAATCAAGCACCATTGACTTGCTAATCATCATCTTCTGCTGATTCATTGAGCTATGGCTGCTCCGTCGTCATCGTCGTCGGCGACGAACATCATGCTCGCAATCCACGAGAAGAAAACTGTATCGGTCGATCTCTACCGCCCTCTTCGCAACTACGTAGTTTTCAATTACTCTGAACGCGAGGCTCAGAACCTAGAAGACGACCTCGAAAACCTAAAGGAGATGCGGAACACCATCGAACGCTCCTCTGGCGCCGATTCCCTCCCTTCCCGTCGCGACCTCCTCCAGAACTACTTCAAAGCCCTAACCGCCGTAGAATCGAGGTTCCCGATCTCCCCCGATAAGGACCATGTCAACTCCGTGACGTTCACGTGGCACGACGCGTTCAAGAACAAGAACAAGGCGTCGCAACAGAACATTCACTTGGAGAAGGCGGCGATTTTGTTTAACTTGGGAGCGGTGCATAGTCAGATTGGGTTGACTTTTGACAGGTCAACGGTGGAAGGGAGACGGCAGGCTTCACACTCGTTTATCGCTGCGGCGGGTGCCTTCGCGTTTCTGAGGGATAATGCGGCTACGAAGGCTTCTATTGGGAGTTCGACGACAGTGGATGTTTCGGTGGAGTGTGCCGGGATGTTGGAGAGGCTGATGCTGGCTCAAGCGCAGGAGTGTGTATTTGAGAACACCATTGCTAAAGGGAGCACCCCTGGGGTTTGTGCTAAAATTTCGAGACAGGTCAGTGTTGATTTTCTTGCGGTTAATTGTTTGTATAAATTCCAAATATGCGTGCTGATCTTCATCTAGTTATTGCATCTGAATGAAGTGTAAGCAGTTTTTGATGCGCAAACAATGTAGATCGCTTTAACGTGCACCAAATTGCCTAAACAACTTATGGAGTTTTAAATGTACCTTTGTCTATTTTGAATGAGGGGGATTCTCATCAACTCCTCTTGGAGAAAGGGTTTCCTTATGCATAAAACTGATTAGGAAGTTTTTTGACTTACAATATGCAGCTGAGAGTCTACAACTATATCCAATTCTATGTGGTTTGCCTAGCGACCTAACAAAATGTAAATTGATACTTGATCAGTATCCTTGATTATTTCTCCAAAAGACCTCAAACTCCTTAATCTTTGGCTTGCCTCATTCGTGGTTATTCAGAACTCCTCCCCCTCATAATTTCCGTGATAATTTTATGACAGTTTTCAATTTGAGTCAGAGTACTGGATTAATTAAACGTACAGTGCTCATTTTTAATGTGCAAAGGGGAGATTGAGATGTATAGACATTCAGACATGAGTGGTTGTCTACAAACACAAATTATAGCAGTTCCAAGTATGATGCATTAGTGTTTTGGAGAAAGCATATTGCTTAGTTATAACTTGTAAGAACAAACAGTGCTTGGAGAGGACAGGAAGAAATCATGGTACTCCTCTCTCACCGACAGAACCATACATCTTATTTTTTTAGAACTTTCTAATATACTTTCCTTGTGCAGTTCCTATGTTGTTGGTTATTTTATGATGCATGCAAATTGTATAGTGAAAAGCAACTTGGAATTTTCTTTTGGAATGTAGTTATTGCCAAAGAGAAGAGTACCTGCATTCGTGACAGTCTTATAGAACAATTTACATAAATGTAGGCGGGCCTCTACTACGAGGAAGCCGTAGCTGCACTAAATGTTGCACCTCTCAGTCAGCACTTCGACAAGACATGGATGTCTCATATTCAGCTAAAGGCAGCTTTGTTCTATGCAGAAGCTTGTTATAGGTATAGCTTAGAGCTTCATGAGAAAGACGAGATCGGGGAAGAAATTGCACGATTGAACAGCGGCATTAGTGCTTTATCTGATGCCAAGAAATCATCTCCAAGGGGAGCTGCACAGCAGATACTTGATGCAATTAACAAGCTAGAATCCAATCTTAATTGCAACCTAGAGAGGGCTATGAAGGAGAATGATAGGGTGTATCTTATGAGGGTTCCTCCAGCCAGTTCATTGCCACCTCTTCCTGCATTTTCATTGGTCAAGTCAATGAACATGAATGATGTGTTGGATGCAAGTAAGGAGAAGATGTTTGCAAGTCTTGTTCCTGACAATAGTGCCAAGGCTCTTTCTAGGTACACGGAAATGGTTGATGAGGTCATCAGAACTCAAGCTGAGAAATTGCAGCAAGGGAGCGAGCTTGCNAGAACTCAAGCTGAGAAATTGCAGCAAGGGAGCGAGCTTGCTCGAGTGAGCCTTAAGGAAATGGACTTACCTGATTCAATTCTTGCTTTGGAAGGACATTCTGTCTTGCCAACAGCTCTATGGGAAGATGTGGAGGCAGTTCAAATTAGTGGGGGTCCAGCTGGCTTGGAAGGTGAACTCCAGCAACTTCGAGATTTAAGGAGGGTAAACCACGAATTGCTGGATCAGACTGAGGAGCTCCTCCAGAAAGAAGCAGCAGAAGATGCACAGTTTAGAAGCCAATTTGGGACACGATGGACCAGGCCTCAGTCTAGTACCCTCACAAAGAACTTGCAGGATAGATTAAATAGGTTTGCAGCAAATTTGAAGCAAGCGGCAGACAGCGATGGTAAAATTGAACGCTCTGTGAGGGACCACATGGCACTCATGTCTATCCTAGATAGCCGTCCGGTTTGTTTTCTCAAACTCCTTACCTAACTTGCTGACTATTTATCCTTTCAATTAGACAATCATGAATCAGCTGTATTGTGGACTGTTCTAATTCGAGTTTCTTAGCAATTTGTATGAAGAACTACGATCAGTATCAAAGATTTCGTACATTCATGTCAATACAAATTTGGAAGAATAATTTTGCAGTTAATATTTATTCAGTACATAGTGCTAATTATAATTGCTAAAGGATTATATGGAGTCCATGGACTTGACTTTGGTATGCTAATTTGTCTGTGCATGTTCTTATGTTCCAGATCGAGTCGGCCCTTCCAACCTTGGCAAGGCCAATCATGTCTTTGGATGCCAATGAAGATGCTGTAGTGGGGGCTCTGAAGCAGAGCTTGGTAATATTATCTTTAATGGCTATAATGTGATGGATTCTTGAAATTGAACAGATTTCAATGTGCATTTCTTGTATCATCTTACCAAAAGTCGTGGTATAGTTTATGATGAAAGTCACATTCTTATAAATCATCATATAAGTAAATATAATAACCAGATGAGTTATTCAAAGGAGGTTTAACCGCTTAACAATAGCATCCATAAATTACTATGTAGTCCATTAGTTGATCATGATGCAAAATGCCACCAAATGGAAAACATCACCCTATATAAACAAGCTTCATGTGAAAAATATCATTTATATAATGGTATAAAGTCGGTATTTGCATGACATTGATTTGAAGACATTTATCAAGATCTGTTAAAGTGTTTCGTACATCCAATTTTTTATCTTGGAGTTATTCAAATGTTTCACTGGGAAGTGGGAATTAAAGAGAAACATCTTTCTTTAAGCAAGAAACTGTATATTGTATGATATGTTGGCATTGAACATGCAACAATTTTTCTCCGGAACTTTTGTCTATACACATGGGATTAATGGGAGAACCATCACAAATCACAAATTAAACAGTTTTTGGGCTATATTTCTAGCAATAAATATATTTAGGCCTTGATGAAAAACTTACCTCAAGTAAATACAAATGAATGAAGTCTCAACAGGCATCTCAATTTACACTTAGTCTCTTTCTCTGAGTAATGGGACCTAGTAAGTGTAAGACCTGCAATAATTTCTTTAATGTCCTGCTTTTGCAGAGGCAATTAGAGACACTGGGTGCACAAAGGGCAGGTCTGGAGGACATGCTTAAAGACATGAAGAGAAAGGTATGCTTTCTTTCTAGTTGAGAGATATTTATGCTGGGTAATTAATGCATTTGACTAAGATGTTCTTTTCTTTAGGAACTATATATTTTTCGTTTCAGTATCTATCTTGTACATGCACTTACATTCATCTGTTGACCATAGTCCTTGGGTAATGATATTCTATTATGTGCTCTCCTTCTTGGATTATTGTACACTGTTCCAAATTTTTTCTTTCTTTTAATATATCGTGTTGTCAAGCCTGTTTATCAGTTTGCATTAATGTGTCTGCTTCCTTGTTTTTGGCAGTTTTTTTTTTTATCTTAGAGGTTTATTTTAGAAACATGAACTAGGATACCCAGATCAAAAAAATTATTTCAGCTTGACTGCTTATACAAGAGGCTAGCCTAAAGGCCAGAACTGCTTTACACCTAGCTAACACAGGCTACATCATTAATATTCCTGCAGAAGAGCCTACCTAGTATAGTAGAGATTACAATTACTAATTAGCCAAAAAAGAAGATTTAAGGCCCTGCCATTTTTAGACTGCAAAGGAGGGGTACATGAACCATCTTCCATTCCTTTTGTACGCTGCATTTTCTTTCCTGTATACTCGTATCCCATTCATGCCATAAACATAAATTATATCATCCCACTGGTCTGGAACAGTTTGACAGTTACACTTATCTCTTTGGCTTGAAAAAGATACAAATGGCTTCGATTTTGCTTTATATGTTTTCTAAGAACTTTGCAGTTTATAGATTATTGATGCTCTAATTTGCATTTGTATCCATTGGCTTTAGGATGATATACTTCCGAAGTTGATGACATCCATTGGTTCACACGAGGATCTCTTCAGAAAGGAGATAGCAAAATATGATCAAATATGTGAAGATATATCCCAAAATCTGCAGGCACAAGAGCAATTATTGCTACATATTCAGGTCTCCTTTTCATTTCTGTTTCAATGTCTATCACTACCTCTTGCCTGAACAGCTGCAGGGGTTTCTGCTGCTGTTCAGAGGAGTCCTCATTTTGCCCCATCTGTTTTGCTTTGTCCACTTCGTTGGTATTGTATTTTCTTATCTGAGTGTATGTGTGTGTTATGATTTGAGAGGGGGGGGGGGGGTAGTTTGGTATCTGGGGCTACCTCTTAAAGGGGGTGAAATTCCATATCAAATAAAAACAAATTAATTCAGAAGAAAAATGAAGGCATCTGATGGCAATATGAAAGGGAAATGAAATTCAACTTGAATGGCGTGTATTTCATTGAGGATGTAGCCTTGTATATTATTTGAAGCATGATGAAACAAGTGCCTATATTGGGATGTTTAATCTAAGCAACTTCTAAAGAAGCTTTAGGTATTAAACTATCATTAAGCAAAACCTTGCATATAGAAGGCGTTGTTGTAATTTGCTTTCGGAGTTGATAGTTACTGATTAAGTTCATTTTTGAAGTGGTGGATTGTGCCACAAAAGTTGTTTGAATGATGAACTTGTTCTCATCGATATAACCTATATTGGAAGGTGAATAATTTCATATGTTCTAAATTGATGGGAATTAGCTCAATAAAGCCTTTCTCAACTACTCTGGGTTAAGTACATCATGGTTACTGCTGGGGACTTCTTGCATTACATATTTACATCTAAAACAACTTTTAGGCTATCAAACTTTTGTCAAAGAGTGGATTTGTGCTCTCACAGGGAGTGATGAAGAGATTATGTGGAATACAATTTGGTCTTATTGTCCTTTTACCTTGGTTTACAATTTATTAATTTTGTGAATTGTTATGGTTACCTGAACTAGCACCATGTTTTTCTTTTGATGTGATAGATCAAGCAGAAACATATCCTTTAGCATTATCTTGTGGGGTAAGATGTCCTTGATTGTTGAGCCTGTATAATTAAAGAGCATGTAGCAAGTAGTTCCAATGGATTTCACTGTGGCAGTCCCTAGCAACGTCTTGAATGTGTGTGTGAGAACTAGTTAACTACATGGGAGGCCTTGGAGCAATTGGTAAGGCTGCATTTTTCGATTGGAAGTCCTGGAAATAGCATCTTTTGCAAAACATAAGGGAAAGACTGTATAAAGATATCTGCCATAAAAGCTTGGGAGCCTTGGGCACTAAGTCGCCTTTCAGAAGGAGCTAACCTTCAGTGAGAATTGGAGCACGTGATTGGAGACTTTTGTAAATTGGTAAATGGCGGCCAAATTACATATCTTCAACTATAAAATCATTAAATCATATTCACAATGCAGGGCCCTTGACGAAGTCCCCTCTTTTATTAAGCAAATTTAACTAGTCTAAACGTGAGCAGAATCAGATGGCCAAGATGAACACCAACGCCTTAAGTGGCAGTCCCTTGAGGAAGAATCAAGATTTGTTAGTCATTTAGCCCATAGATCTTTAGTTTTCAATCTATTATGGGTTCCTTCAGAAGGAAATTGTGTGTGTGTGTGTGTGTGTTAACAGTTCAGTGCATGCTGTCCTATTGTACCAGTTTGACATTAAGCATCCCCCGAGTCATATATATTCTTGTTATATGCATGATAGTGTGCTCTCTTAAGTTTTAACAGTTACCTTGTTGCTGAGGGCAGAACTCTTCTGTCAGTTCTGTGCCATCTTAATGCTCCCTCCGTTCTCTGTAACCTGTCATACTTTGGCTTTGAATGTCTAACAAACCACCTTCAATTTTGAAATTGATTGAATACATATAATATTTGAGGAGAAACCAATAATTACATCAAAAGTACAATCAGTATTAATGTATTATAAATACCAAAAAAAATTCTTGTTAAAAATGCAGAAGAATAAACAATGATAATTATTTATTAAATACTATTTTGGCATTCAAAGTCAAAAGAGTAGAACTAATAGAGAATGGAGGAGTATCCATATGGAAACTGAAAGATAGGATATGGAATGTTAACAACTGTTTTGCTTGAACCGTTTCTGTTCCCTTTTTAAAAAATATTGTGGTTGCACATTTACAATATGGACTAGGTGTCAGGTGATTAGGTCTCTAGCACCTAAAGGGAGTTTCTCTAGATTGATCAGAAGATCCTTTCAATTGGCTAGAATCCCTTACTTGAACGAAACTAGATCTTGCGGAATCATATTGAATATTTGACGATACCTTGCGAAAAAACCTTATTATTGAACACTAGTAGCTGGTGCTTATATTTTTGAATTGTTTCTTTTATATCCTATATGCATAGAGCTTTCTTCCAAATGATTACCTTTCAACACTGTTATGATATAAGACCAGTCCAGGCAATTCATGCATCCTAATTTCTAATTTCTTCTCTTCCATTTAGGCTCAAAATAGCGAGTTTGCAGGCACCTTCAACATTGAGGACTACAGGGGTAGGTGCTAATTATAAATTTTTATGTATCAGCCTTCACTTTACTGTGCATTATTTCTTTCCTTTGATACTCTATTTGGATTATTTAGCATGTTGTTTCCGTGATGAACTGTGGTTTTTTTTAATGAGATGTGGCATAACAGACGAGTTGGGTACTTGGGTTGGATTGGGTAACAGGTTGAACTGGGCATCATTTAATATGTATGGATGTACTATAAAGTTTCCTACCACGAACACATCCGAGTCTCCCAGCCCCTAACAAAAGAAACCACCTCCTTTTTGCGAAGGTCTTATAACGTTATATGATCTCTAAAACCTTGTTATCCTAGAACAATTTATTTCAATTCATTATGTACTTTGAGACATTGTTGCATATGTTCTTGTTATAACATTGTACTTTTGGTCCCCCAGCTTCTTGTGAAAAGTGCTATAAGCAGATTGAGGCTGCTATAGCCAGGTATCGAGAAATCAAAGAGAACATCAATGAAGGATTGAAGTTTTATGTTACTCTTCAGGTGACCTGCCCTCTTGTTGGCTCTTATCACACGGTTAAGAAGTCATTTAATCAACTTTTTATCGTTTATTCTCGTCATTTAACAGGAAGCAATCACAAACGTAAAGCAGCAGTCGAATGACTTTGTGATGACCCGAAGCATACAGTGCCGAGAAATGATTGAAGATGTACAAAGACAAATGTCGGGTCTCAGTGTTCAAGATGGTAGAAACTACAATTACTCTGTCGGACGGTCTCATCAGTCACAAAGACCTGAGGCCGCCAATATGGCCAACACCCCTCGTCCTCAAACACCATATTACCAGCAACCACCACCAGGATATGGTCAGCACCCGCCGCCTCCTTATAACACGGCGCCACCAAGTGGTGGGTCCCCATACCCCCCTCAGCCAGGCCAACAACAAGGACCGCCAGGGCAGCCGGCTTACCCGGGTTGGCAGGGGTCCTATTATAATGCACAGGGTCAGCAACCTGGATCTTATTCGAGGCCTCCATACCCTCCTAACCAGAGTGGCTACTATAGACAATGATTTGTTTCTTATTTTTTGGCCTGGTTTGACGTTATTTTTGGCGTGGATGTGATGTGTATATTTAAGTTGCAATTGTTTATTTCATTTGTGTGGTTTACAAACTCGTATCGTGGACATATATCATCTCGACATAAATAACATATACCTAATGTTTGTATACTTACGTGAGACCGTGTGCTTTATAGGTTCTGGTTTTGTATGCCAACGAAACTATCCTAAATTTGTAAGCAATTTGTCCTGTACACACATGTGCATAACATGCATATAAACAAATAAAATTACTTCAATTACTTGTATGCACATGTGTATGTTGTTCAGATAAATAATTATCAGGTGTTCTTCAGTTTTTCATTTTCTATGGGTTTTATCCAAACCTCTTCCTCTCTCTCCATTATATACATACATATATAGAGGAGCGATCAAATGAAAACCACTCCATTATATATATATATATATACCTCTCTATCTCTCTCACTCTCAATCGTTTTGTCTTTTGTTTATAACCAACAACCATGGAGTCCATCACCATTATTTGGTCTGTTTAGGTGGTTGATTTGATTTACCCAAAAGAAGCTCAATTCTAAAGGGACTGAAACTGTTAATTGCAATTAATAGACTTAGGGGTGTTTGGAATTGCTTACTTAAAATGTTTATTAACTTATTCCAATGTGGTACGAATAACAAAGAGTTAGGGGCTGTTTACCAAAACACTTACCCGGTAAGCGCTTAACGGTAAAATTCAACTCTATATCTTATTTATCGGGCAAGATTTTAGTCTACCAAAACGACATCGTATGTAATAATTTACCCGACAAGCGCTGACCGTGGTAAGAGTCGTCGTCATCACTTACCAGGTAAGACTCTCGGTTCGTGCCTTCGCTCTTACCAAGTAAGATTCTTGATCCTTGTCATATTCATCCGGTAAGAGAATGTGACTTGATAAGCGCTTACCCGAGTAAGCATTTGGTAAACGGCCCCTTAATAGACTTAGGGGTGTTTGATATGATGTGTATATTAAGTTGCAATTGTTTATTTCGTTTGTGTGGTTTGACATCGAACTCGTATTATGGACGTATATCACTCGACATAGATTAACATATACCTAACGTTTGTATACTTGGAGTACGTGCAACCGTGTGTTTTGTAGGTTCTAGTTTTGCATGCCAACGAAATATCCTAAATTTGTTCGCACAATCTAATGGGATGAAATTGTGATAATTTTAAGAGCCATGAAATTGTGATAATTTTGTGATAAATTTTTGAGAGCCATGAAATTGTGATAATTTTAAAACTAGTTGTCTACTCGCACAACGTAATGGGATGTAAAAAGCTCATTAAGATTATTCAATTTTGAGATATCAAATTCCTTGAAAGATGTAACAGTCTGCTACATTTGTATCTAATTTAGATTCAAATATACATTCATCCAAAATGTTGGTGTTAGTAGGTTCTACAATTATTCATAAACCCTTAATCACAACCCGAATGACTGTAGCGGTGGAGCAAGATACTCAACCCGAATCACAACCCATCTCGAATATATTGAATATAAGAAACCCTTAAAAGCAAATGAGTTTGTTAATGTATACAAATACTGTAAATGTAGATCTGGAGCTCCGAAATGCCAACCTTTAAAATAAGCAGCTAGCTCAAACTCTAGTAGTAAAATGGAAAGCCAAAGGAAGACCTTTATACAAGTACAAAAAACGTGTGGAAGTTGTAAGGGTGTCGGTGAGACTGGAGGAGAGACGGTGAGGAACGCGGAGGCGAGGAAGAATGTAGTTAGGGCAATTGAGGTGATTGGGAAAAATCAATCGTGAATTATGAAAATCTGAGGTTTACATTTGAAATGGTAAGAGAGTTTTTGATCCATATTTGTGCATTTTTCATTACTTTTACAATAAGAATTATGGGGTCTAACAAGTAAGATGAAAATCTTGGGAACATAAAAGGTCAAATTGAAAGGGGTAGATGGTTTAAATTTTCAATGTTTGTTGGGAACAAAAACTAAATATGAGAAAGATAAAACTTAAAAGTATGAGTTATAAAAGGTGAAACATTGTTGAGTCGTACCATATGCATAAATGACTTGTAATTAAGACGTTTAAGATTTTATGCATAAAGCAATACCTTATGCATTTAAGGTTGTTTTTAAGACTTTTATCAAATCTGTTTTATAATAATTTTAAAATTAATGGAGAATGTGTTATTTTATATTATTATTTTTTCATCTAATACTAGAATTTAGAATATTAATTAACATATTTATTTATTTCATAATATGTTTGTTTGATAATGTGAACCTCTTTTAGTTTGTTTATAAAATAAAAATTATATATAAAAGAATTTTATATTGTGAATTGCATACATGAAATAAACACATTCTAAAACAAATATATATTTATTAATATATTAAAATTTTAGCCTTAGATGAAAAAAAATCATGTGAAAGGATACCTTAAACTAAAAGTTCTCATATTTATTACAATATATAGAGTTCTCAAATGATTAAACCTATATATATATATATATATATAGAGAGAGAGAGAGAGAGAGAGAGAGTCAGGTTTGGGGAAAAACTACACAAAAATAAAAAACTGAGTAACACCTTCATAACCGTTTATCTAAACGGTATATACATGTGCATACAAATAACTTGTAAGCAATTTTCTTGTATACACATATGCATAACATGCATACATGCTTAAAAACTAAAAAAGTTACTTTAATTACTTGTATGCACATGTGCATGCCGTCCAGATAAATAGTTATTAGGGTGTTCCTTAATTTTTCATTTTCTATGGATTTTATCCAAACCTCTTTATCCAAACCTCCTTATATATATAAACTTTTTAATATAAATCTAGAAAAATTTATTACAAGCATATATATATATATATATATATATATATATATATATATATATAGGGGCACGTTCAAATGAAAACCGTGCATTTATAAGAAACTGTGTAAACCAATTTTGACCAATAGGAAAATTCTTTTTTTTTTCAAATTAAATTTAATCAATAAGGGTATTTCGGTCATCTACAATATTTTCTATTAAATATGAAAGTTATTAATAAATTTTAATTAATGAAATGTAATAAAGAAAATTGTATAAATGATAACATTTAAATATCCCTTAATTATATTAAAATATTAAAATTTTGGATTTCATATATTGTCATGAGTTATAATAAGGAAACGTGTCTTGATGAAATAATTGAATTATAGAATGAAATCATTAAAACGTAGATGAACAAAAAAATCCACAAAATGAAACCAGTTTCATGAACGTGAAACCGATTCATGTTGCAAAGAAATTAGGTGAACCGAAATATTTTTATGGTGAACCTGTTGCATTGATGGTGTAGTTAATCCTTTTTTTATGAGAAACAAAATGAAACCGGTGCATTTTGAAAAAAAAATATGAAAAGAAAAATGAAACATGTTTCATGAACGTGAAACCGGTTCATGTTGCAAATAAATTATGTGAACCAAAACATTTTTATGGTGAAACCGTTGCATTGATGGTGTAGTTGATCCATTTTGTTGATGAAAAGGAAAATGGAACCGGTACATTTTGAAAATAAATTATGAAAAGGAAAATGAAACAGTTTCATGAACGTGAAACCGGGTCTTGTTGCAAATAAATTATGTGAACCGAAACATTTTCATGGTGAATCCGTTGCATTGATGGTGTAGTTGAGCCCTTTTGTATTTCGCTCGTCTCGAACGAAGTGCATGATAAAACGGGGAAATGATTTTAATCTGCTACATAATCTTGAAGATTGTAAAGACTAAAGGAATGATTTCATCAAATCGGTGGTGAAATAAGAAAATTATTGTACATGAAATAGTTTTCATGAAAGTGAAACTGGTTCATGGCAGTATTGAGCCTGATAAGTGAAATGGTTGCATAAGTGAAACAATTTCATGTTGTATTATAAACTTTTATGAAGTCAGTAATCGATGAAAAAATTTCGTTATCTAAGTGTAACAAATCCATCTACCATTATAATGAAAAATTACGAAATATGATCAGTATTACTTGGATTAGTCTGTTGATTAAATTTTGATACCAATTTCGTTCATATATTGTAATTCAAAATTTAAAACGATTCACTCTATATAATTGAATACGATGTGTTATATTCATTTTTTTTATATGTTTTATTTTAAAGTTAAAAATAATATATTGCTTTAAAAAATGGAAATAGTGTCATTAATATTGAGAAGGATGTTGCCAAATGTTAAATTTTGTTTACCATTTTTGCTCTTACTGTTGAAATAAAATAAAATTTTAATATATATATATATATATATTTAATTTCCTAAAATAAAGTAAACTAATCTTGGTCATTGATCAAGAAAATGGATGGATGAGATTGGTTTACACAAATGGGGCATATTTTTTATTTGAACGCTCCACTCTCTCTCTCTCTCTCTCTCTCTCTATATATATATATATATATATATATATACTATATTATAAAACATTTGACATAAACTCTTAAAAACGATTTTTTATGCACGAAGTACTGTTTATTAATGCATAGTATTTAAAATTTAAGATTACAAGTAAATTGTGTTAAACACAACTTATTAAAGCTCCATACTTGAATTCGTCTAACTAACTGCAGATAAACATAATCAAATATTGAATAAACATCTCATTTTAAATATAAAAAATATAAAATATAATTAGGATAATCATTGATAACTAACAAAATACTTAGTTATTGTCTTTATAAAAAATTAAATTATTAAACTTAAATTAAATTTCTTTGTTACTAAAAC